TGTTTTGAAAATGATGATGGCAACAAATGTACAAATGTGCTTAACACACATTGGATGTATGTATGGATTGTGATAAGAATTGTACGAGCCCCCAATAAAATGATTGAAAAAAATTAAACTATCATTACTAGATGTATATGAGTTTATAATTGTTCTATCTTGCTAATGAATCATTTCTGTATTTTATATATCCTTAATGATAGTCTTTGCTTTAAAGTTCATGCTGTGTGATATTAATATTGCTATGGCTTTGATAATGTTCTTTTCTCCTTGTCCCTTGTTTCTTGTACTTTCTTACAAGTTTACTATAAACTTTAAAAAGATATATTTTTTATTTTATCCTTTATTTCTGGTTTTTGTTGCAGGCAGAATTGGGTTGCAGGATGTCCAATTTGACATATTGGTAGATCTTGATGTGTTCACACTTAAAAATAATATAAAGTATATACTTACCTTTAAACAGAAATATATTATGCTTGATATACCATTAGAATAGCAGAACAAATTGCATGATGTATGCATAAACCAAGCCTCACCTAACCAAATAAAGTGTCAACTCACATTCATTGTTAGGCTCAATCTGAATATTTTCATTGTCCATCCCAAACAGCTAAGGAAAAGAAAAAATGTTCAATCAATATACTCCCATAGATTCCTTCAAGAATCTGCTACAACTCCCATCTCTAAAGAGTTTCTCTGCAGACCAAGAATTACTGGTTTATGGCATCTCAAAAAAATTACAGACAAGACACTGAAATTTTTTCTTGAACTGATAGTTTAATATTCATCTTCCCAACCCTCAGCCATTCACTTGGTTTTCCTGAAGTAATGTGGGACTTAAATCTTTTTTTCCAGTTTACTTCTAGGCTGATCTGGTCTCCTGGTTGGGTGACACAAAACTCAAAACTAGTTGTTGACTGGTAATATGTAGTTTCTTACACTAGAACCAAACTTTGTCAAAGTCATTTAAAATAGTCTTACCAACAATTCACTATGTACTTCACTTCCAACACCCACACTATGCATAGAGCTGTGGAATAAGTTAGGATCTACTCTTCTCGACTCCTGACTATGAATTTTAAGGGGCTGAGGAAAGTTGTGTCAGTGGTCTTAGTGTGTACATGGAGCCTGAGGGAGTTCCTAATTCTTGATGTCTAGTATTTACTTTGTATCAAATTTATGTACTACATGGAAAGCCTTTAAGAACTCGTTAAAATCAATGCTTCCATCCTTGTTTAAGTCCATTTTGTTGGCAAGCTCGTCAACTTGAGAATCATCAATATGAACACTGTAATGAGTTTTGAAAAGTTTCCACATGTCTCGAAATTCCTCCACAGAGATCAAGCCTAGAAGAACATAGGAGAAAGCAGTGAGTGTTCATTTTAAGACCCACCCAAGGGAGGGGTGGGGAAGCCACACTGATCTGATAAACCCAATTAGAAGCTTATCAACATGCCTGCCTATCTAGACTGAAAATATAGAAGAATAAGACCATAAATGTAAGAAAACAATATGCCACTTTCAACTCCCACATGATCCTGAGATTGCTCTAAAGCTGGAATGAGTAAATAGGAAAGGGATAAGAGGTGATTGTGGATTGTGAGACAATGGATGGTATATAAATTTTATGATCTGAATTTTAATGGCAGAGAAAGTAGGGCAGAGAGGAAAGCAACATCCAAGCAGTGGACGAAGGTACCCTGAAACTCAGAGGATGCAAAGAGTGCCTCTGTCTTTTTTATAGGCAATCATTAACTTTCATGTGTTAGATTACTGGAGTGCATGCATGTGCGTGTGTGTGTTTTGATTATCTGATGATTTTTAAAAGTTAGTTTGAAAATGAGTAATTGTGCATCAAAGCCAAGGCCCCCCACCCCCAAAAAAAGAGTTGTCATAGCCCTCACTCCCCAGTACAGAATCAGACCTGAAGGAATTGTTTTTATCACCAGGAATAATTAAGACATATAAACGGACAATGACTTGTTTTTGTTTTATTTCACATCAGTGCTAGTGATTTATAAAAAGAGAGACTCTAGTTTGTCCAGTGGACACTTTTGTAGGACTCTATGGTCTTGAATATAGAGTTTGTGGCCAACCTAAAATAATAGTAATAAATGTGGGTTCATTTTTCCCCAAGTTTACATGAAAGATGAAACAGATGAAAATAGAGTTTAGGTTTCAGACAAACAGATTAACTTTTGCTAATCAAACAAATCACAGTTCATTTACCTGAGTGATCAGTGTCAATAACATTAAATATGATCTTCAGGTCAGATCGGTATCTGCAGAGAGTCTCAATTATAGAAGACTGAACCTAAAAAAAAAAATTTGCTAAGCGGTAAAACATAGAATCAATGGCACAGATCAATTTTAGTAAATGTAGCAAGAGCTCTTTGCCGATATGCTTGATATTACTTAAAAATCTCTGGAGGTAAAACTTCCTGGAGCACAGTTCTACTCTGACACTAGTGGAGTTGCCACCCACTCAATGGCAACTGATATTTTACAAAATAACCACAGCCCACTTTTACTGAGAGCCCTGGTGTGCCGTGGAGAGCTCCATGTCCTCAGCCATAGTGCAGGACTACGGTTACATTCGCTGTTCAGGTTAGAAAACAGAAAGGTAAAAAAACATTTCTAATTTCACTACCTTGCCTAAAGCCAAGACCCATGATTACAGTCATCACATTCAACAGTCTCTACATGAAGTCAAAGCTTTCCTGTATCTAATTGCTCAGTTATTTCCCTTCTCTCTGTTCTTAACATCCCAGCTCCTCCGCAACCCCCCACCCAGCCCCCCTCTCCTTCCCCCTGGGTCCAATGTAAATCATTGCTGGTGAGCTGTTAACTTAAAAAATACAAGCACACCTCATTTGATTGTGCGGAGCCCCACAGATTCTGTTTTCAATGAGTTGGGGGTTTGTGGCAATCCTGCACTGGGCAAGTCTATCCCATTTTCCAACAGCATGTGCTCACTTTGTGTCCTTGTGTCACATTTCGGTCCTTCTCACAAGATTTCAAATTTTTCATAATGCTATTGCACACTTCACAGACTACAATATAGTGTAAACATGATTTTTAATATGCACTGGGAAACCAGGACATTTCCTGTGACTCATTGTATAGCGATCTTCACTTTATTGGGGTGTTCTGTGACCATTTGAATAAGGGATTACAATTTTAATAAGAAGCCTTGGTGGCATATTGGTTACACATTGGGCTCCTAACTACAAGGCGAACAGTTTGAAACCACCAGCTGCTCCTTGGGAGAAAGACAGGTCTTTCAGTGCCCATTAAGAGTTACAGTCTTGGAAACCCACAGGGGCAGCTCTACTCTGTTCTATAGGGTCACTATGAGTCAGCATTGACTAATGGCAGTGAGTTTGGTTTGGTTTGAGAGCACTTTTAAAAAGCATTAAAAATCTTAAATGTGTATTCTCAGTCATGTCAGCAAGTCTTGATTCCCCCAGGTTAGGCGTGGGTATTTTAAAGGGAGTATTGTATAAAAGAATGGATGCTACCCCTTCTCTTCTGCTGGCCAGCACTTAGAATCTCCTATTCGCTGTGGATTCATGTACAGAAGTGTGTTTCTTTTTCCTTTTGTCTACCCTTAGAATGCACAGATCACAATGTACAATCCCCCTTCATGCCTCTCCTAGGACAACCCTATCCATCAGAGAATTCTCCCAAATTTTGAAAGGTCTAAGTGTCTCTTTTAGGATGAAGAATGTTTAGCTCTAGCCAGGGTTTAGCTGGGGTTTATCATACTTACCTCTTTCACAGGTTTTTGAATGAGGACATCTTCAAAGCTAGACATGTAGTTGATCTTTCCATCTTTGTCTGTATTCACCAAATGTGCACTCAGGGATCTCCACGGTAAGTTTAACTCCATAACGCTCTCCATGGAAAAAGCCCACTGGCCCAGAGAAACTTTTCCTACAACAGCAAGCAGGACCCACATCAGTAGTTTATTATTTGATAAAGAAAGGCAGAGCCGATGGACAGCCTGAGGTTTTGAGCCCTGAAGGTCCCACAGGGTCCTCTGATTTGTCCTCTCAAGGCCCCACCGTCTTTTGTGTTGTATAGATTACTCCTTTGTTGTTACTTGTAAGGAATCAGAGTTGGGTGTGAATTTATTTTCTGATTATAGATTTGAAAACACAAAAAGAATATTTTAAAAAATCAAAGATTTATTTTTGTTTTTAATATTTAAGATATTAGTTACCTGTCATTTTCCTATGTAATATCCCTGCCCTTCATAATATTATCAGTAGTTTTTTCGTAGTATAAATATCTTTATTTTTTCTTATTTTCAAAGATATGCTCATTTAAAATAATTTATAATACATAGAAAACAATATTATTGTAACCTGTCCTTTTTCTTTATATAGAAACTTGTGTATTCATATATAAATATATATTATTATCTTTCTTAAAAATATTCATTATACTCTAGAATATGTTTTATATGCTTGTATTGCATATGACAACACATACAGGTATACGCTAATCTGCTTTTTAAACTTATAATAAATTATGGGCATCCACTTATCTTAATAAATACAAATCTACATAATCATTTTAATGGCTAAAAATGACTTCATTATTTCCTTAGGATATTTCCTAGAGATGAAATTGCTGGCTCAAAGGGCATGTAGATTTTTTTAAGGCTGATATATAATGAGAAACTGCTTTCCAGAAAAGTCTATTCATTTACACTCCCATCATCCCATTTCCTCACATATGTAGCAGCTAAGGAGAATAATTTCTCTTTTATATTATTCAAAAAAGTATGACACCTACAGAAAATCTCTCAAAATAAGAAATATGAAACTTGATGAGTTATTACAAGGGAACTCTTGTGTAACCACCAGAGAGTACAAGTAACAGATCACTGCTAGAATCCAAAGGGTCCCCTTATGAACCCTGAAACCCTACCACCTCCTACTGTCCCAAGGACAACCATTTTGCTGACCTCTAACACTATAGTGCCTTTTTGCCCCCTTTGATCTAAATAAAAACAGAATCATAAAGAATCATTTGTGGGGGAGGGGGTTGGCTTTTTTTGCTCAAAATTAGTTCATGAGATGTGGGATAGTGAATGATTCTTCCCCAGGTTGTCTCCCCCAAATATATGCCAGACCTAGGATGCTGCTTGCTAGCATGGGAAGTCAGCTACTTAGAGGTAGTGTCCCTGAGGACATAAGCCATATGGAGCAATCAAACACTATTGTTTATCCCACCATAGGTGGGGCTCACACCCTGCTGATAAAGATAGTGGATTGTTTCCTTGAAGGAGAGCTCAGAGACAAGGTCAAGCCAACTCAAGGACGACCAAGGTTAGGCTGCCATCTTGAATCTAGGATCCGTCCATCTTGCCATATATGTGCCCCTAATCCCTCCCCTTCCTATTGTGTGTACACCCCAAGATCGTCCCCTTCCCTTTGCTTGTGTTGCTTATGGCACAATCCTTTCCTGTTACATATGTGGTTACCTGTAATCAGGGGCTTGCATGTACCTGAAAGATATATATAAGCCTTGGTCAGAAATATATTCACCCCGCCCTTCTCTTTCCTCCTCTCTCTGCACAGACCTGGTTGCTGAGATCATGGCTGTCCTGGAGGTGAGCATGCTACCCTAAAATGTGCCTGACTTTAACTTCTCACCTATCTCTCCTATCTTCTATGACTTTACTATAATCTTTAGATATTATAGCCATACAATTGCGCCTACAGAACACCCCCCCCCCATGATTGTTAGAGGCTGGTTTACGCTAACAATGGGATCTAGCCATGTTGTTCTATTTAATTGAGTTTGTTCATTTTCATTGATGTATAAAATTCCATTGCATAAATATTCACAATTTATAAATGCATCTCAATGTTGAAAGACTTTTGAGTAATCTACCATTCAGTATTATTACAAACAATGCTGCTAAAAACATTTCTGTACTTTCCCTTTTAATGCATAAATCAATCAACATTTCTGTTGGGTAGATACCTAGGAGTGAAATTGATGGATGTTTGTTCAGCTTCAGTTGATACTCCAAATAGTTTTCTAAAGCGGTTGTACCAATTTAGACTTCCATGACCAGTACTTAAGAATTGTAGTTGGTTCACATCTTTGCCAATACTGTATTTGGTATTGGCAGTCTTTTTCATTTCATGTATGTCATAATATTTCATTGTGGATGTAATTTACATTTCCTAGATAATCCAAGTAATGTGCCTTTGCATTTACTGATTATTTGAATATTCTCTATGTGAACTGTGAATTGGCAAAATCTTTTGCCAATTTCTCTGCTGGGTTTTATGTCTTTTGTTATTGATTATTGTTGTTGCGAGGTGCTTTCAAGTCAGTTCCCACTCATAGCAATCCTATGCACAACAGAATGAATGGCTCCTGTGCCATACTAACAATTATTTTTATGTTTCAGCCCATTGTTACAGCCATTATGTCAATCCATCTTGTTATGGGTTTTCCTCTTTTTAGCTACCCTTCTACTTTCTTAAACATGGAGTCCTTTTCCAAGGATTGGACTCTACTGATAATACGTTCAAAGTATGCGGGATGAAGTCTCACCACTCTTGCTTCTGGAAGTCCATGGTAGTTTCAATGTTCTTCACCAACACCATCATTCAAATGCATCAATTCTTCTTCAGTCTTCCTTATTCCATGTCCAACTTTCACATGAGTACGAAGCATTCTCTAAGTGACATCTTTGCTCTTCAACACTTTAAAGGTGTCTTGTGCAGCAGATTTGCCCAATGCAATAAGTCATTTGATTTCCTGACTGCTGTCTCCTTGAGCATTGATTGTGAATCCAAGTAAGATGAAATCCTTGATAACTTCAATCTTTTCTCTGTCATGATGTCATCTATTGGTCCAGTTGTGAGGATTTTTGTTTTCTTTACATTTAGTTGTAATCCATACTAAGATTGCAGTCTTTGATCTTCATCAGCAAATGCTTCAAGTTATCCTTACTCTCAGCAATTGAAGTTGTGTCATCTGCCTATTGCAGGTTATTAATAAGTCTTCTTCTAATCCTGATGGCATATTCTTCTCCATATAATCCAGTGTCTTGGATTATTTGCTTAGTATACAGATTGAATGAGTATAATTAAAGGATACAAGCCTGATACACACCTTTCCTAATTTAAAGCCAAACACTATTCCCATGTTCTGTTTGAATGACTGACTGCCTCTCAACTCATTTACCGGTTCCATATAAACACAATGAAATGTTCTGGAATTCCCATTCTTCTCAATGCTATCCACAGTTTGTTATGCTCTACACAGTTGAATACCTTTCCATAGTTAATAAAGCACAAGTAAACATCTCTCTGGAATTCTTTGCTTTCAGCCATCTGATGTCACTAATGGCATGCCTCATTCTACCTCTTCTTCTGAATCCAGTTTTAATTTCTAGTAGCTTCTTGCTGCAACCATTGTGTAATACTCTTCAGCAAAATTTTACTTGCATGTAATATGAATGATTTTATTCTCTAATTTGCACATTCTGTTGAGTCACCCCCTTTTTTAGAATGGGTGCAAATATGGATCTCTAAATTTTGGGGGGCATAGATAAGTGAATGTTTCAGTACTCCACATTATTCTTTAGTTGATTAGTAGGAATTATTTATATTTTCAGATATGAGCCATTCATCAACTGTGTGCATTGCAAATACCTTCCCTCATTCTGTAGCGTACTTTTTTTCATTCCTTTAATAGTGTAATTTGATAGGCCAAACTCAAATATATTGCCATAGAGTCGATGCTGACTGACTCATAGCAAACCTATAAGACAAGGTAGCACTGCTCCTGTGAGTTTCTGAGACTGTTAACTCTTAACAAGAGTAGAAAGTCCCTTCTTTCTCGCTTGGAGTTGGCTAGTGGTTTCAAACTGCTGACCTTGCAGTTAGCAGCCCAACTCATAACCATTATTCCACCAGGGCTTCTACTATGTCACCAGGATTCCTTAATTTGAAAGGTAGAAGTTCTTAAATTTAGTGTAAATAAAATTAGCCCTCTTTTCTTTATGGCAAGTGCTTTTCTGTTCTACTTAAAAAATCTTTGTCAAGTCCAATTGTATAAATAAATTCTCCTATGTTGTGTTCCAGGATCTTTGTTTCATATTTAGATCTAAAATCCACCTGGAATTTATTCTTGTGTATTCCATGTGCCATTAATTTTCTTCCATTTGGCTCAGCTAGCATCATTTATTGAAGACTGTCCTTTACCCAGGCTTAGCAGTGGCACCTGTGTCCATAGATGCATGAACCTGTTTTAGGATTCTCTATTTGGTTCCATTGATCTATGCGGCGATCCTGTGTCAATTCCATAGTTTTGTCATTACTATACTGTTATAATGTTTTGATATACAATAGGGCAAGTCCTTTCACCTTTTTGTTTTCTTTGAAGAATGTCTTGGGCATTTTGGGATTTTTATATTTTTAATATAAAATTTATATGGAACTTTTCAAGATCTACCATATTACTTGCTGGGATTTTGATGGAGAGAACTTGACAACTTTCCTCCTTATAGCCCCTGGACACAGGAGTATCCACCCATTTATGTCATTTGGCTTTAATTTTTCTTAATCATATTTAATCATTTTCATAAGGAAATCTCATGCACTATATTTTTATAGATATTTTATATCTTTTAAATTCTCATTAACTTATTTAGTTACCAACCCAAAACCAAACCCATTGTCATCAAGTCGATTCTGACTCCTAGCAACCCTGAGGACAGAGTAGAAGTGCCCCATAAGGTTTCCAAGGCTGTAAATCTATTTGGAAGCAGATTGCCACACCTTTCTCCTATGGTGTGTCTGCTGGACTTGAACACCAACTTTTGGGTTAGCAAGCATGTGCTTTCAGCACTGTGTCACCATTGCTGGCATACCAGTTGCAAAGTGATTCCCACTCAGCTCCCAATTAACCCTTCTTTGCCCTACTTTGTGGTACTGGAGCTGGACTCTGAACATTTCCCCTTTGCTGCTGGTATGGTGTTAGGCTTTATCAGTAGAGGGCACAGGAAGAATATTTCCAGGCACAGCAGAAGCAGCAGTTTCTCATTCTGGTTCTGGTATACTTTGCTTATTACTTTGATAACGCAGTGTGAAGGCCAGAGGTGTGAAGAAGATGCAGTGGAGCCCACTCTTCAAGGAGTGTTGTTGACACCACAGTAAGCGACTTCCTTGCCAGTAGTATGTGAGAAACACAATGGCACCCAACCTCTAGAACTTTTGGCACCTCCGTGGGTAGTTTCCTTGCCATCCCTGTATAGGAGACATAGTGGTCACAGCCCCCAGAGAGTTTTGCTGGCACTCCAGTAAGTAGTTCCTTTCTTTCCAGCGCTGGTCCACCAGCTCTACACTTGCTCTGACCTGAGACACCACAGTGAATTTCTGCCCCATGCAGTGGGCCTCAGACACGGAACCTCTCCAATGAGATCTGAATCTCAGCCTGGGGTGAGGGTAGAGGGTTCTTCTAAGTTTCTTCCTTCCTTGGGTACCCTCTCTCAGCCTTTGAGATCGTATTTGCTCACTATATTTGCTATTCCTATATTCTTTAGAGCTCTTATTTATCCTTTTACAGTCACCTTTTACTATTTAAAAATTCTTTATATTAAATTTCCCCTTTCAAATGACTGGTGTAGTTGCTGTGTCCTGAGTAGGTACTAACACACTAATTGTAAGAAAATGCATACAACTTCTGGGTCTTGACATTGCATCCAGCAACTTGCTAAATTCACGTATTAATTCCAATTTTCCCTCTGTGAATTTATTTCAATTTTTATATACTCAATCATATTATTTATACAGAATGACATTTTATTATTTCTTTTCCGAATCTTATTATTATATTTCTCTTTATTGTATTAGTTAATATTCCTAATGCAATGGTGAATAGAAGTATTGATAATTGGCATCTATATTATTTCTTATTGCTACTTTAACAAGTTACAATTAACCTGTGGCTAGAAAAAATTTTATTCTCTCACATTTCTGAAGGTTGTAAGTCTGAAATAGGTTTCACTGGGTTAAAGTCAAGTTTCAAGCAAGACTAACCATTCCCTAAGGAATGGATTCATTTCTCTGCCCCTTTCAGTTTCAAGAGGTTGCTGGTATTTTGGGGCTCATGACTCCTTCCTCCATCTTCAAAGCACATCATCCCAAACTGGTTCCATCATCACATTACCTTCCCGTCTGACTCTGACGTTTCTTGAATCCCTCTTCTAAGACTCCTTGTAATTACATAGGATAATACCAGTGTCAACATCCTTAACTTAGTCATATCCTCAAAGTCCAGTATGCTACATAACACTTACAAGTTCCAGGAATTAGGCTATGGACACATTTGGGGGCTACTATTCAGTCTATCACAAAATCCTTGCTTCATCCCAAAATTTAGAAGGAATGTTTTCAACATTTTTCCCATTAAGTATGCTTTTTATTATAGGCTTTTCTATATATCCTTTATGGGATGATAAAAGTTCATTTCTATTCTTTCTTTCCTAAGTGCTTTCCAAAACCACCAAAGGAGATTTGCTTATTGATTTCTTTAATTTTGCTAAGGTGGACAATTACACTGATAGAGTTCCAAATGTTAAAACAATCTTGTACTCCTAGAAGAAACTAAATTTGGTTTATGAACCAAAAGATTTCATATTAACTCTCTGCTACGTCAATGGGATTTTGTCATATAAATTTATCAGTGAGTTTGTTGTTGTTAGGTGATGTCACGTCAATTCCGACTCATAGCGACCCTACGTACAATTGAGCAAAACATCACCCAGTCCTGCGCCATCCTCACAACAGTTCTTATGTTTGAGCCCATTGTTGCGGCCACTGTGTCAATTGATGTACTGCCCTTCTACTGTCCTTCTCCAGGGACTGGTTTCTCCTGACAACATGCCCAAAGTACATGAGCTGAAGTCTTGCCATCTTTGCCTCTAAGGAATGGGGTTAACTTTTAGTTTTTCTATTCCATAATGTTCTTGTTAGGCTTTGGTATCAAGGTTATGCTGACTTTCTAAAAACAATCTCAGAAGGGTTTCCTTGATTTCTACTCACTGGGAGAGTATGTTTATACGTAGCTGTACCTGTAAGCAAACCCACCGTTGGGGACCACGTTGCTGTCAAACGTCAAACAGGCAGGACTCTAAAATTAATAATAACACTCATAGGGAATGAACTCCTCAGAATAATCAACCATGGGAAAGCAAAACAGGAGTATCTGTCCAAAACCAAAACTCAGAAGGCAAGAAGGGGCAGGCAAGAAGAATGAATGGAATCAGAGGAACCTGAAGAGGAAGCAGGAAGAGTGCTGTAACATTGAAGGAATTTCATCTAATGGCACAAAATAGAACATGTGAAAATTGTTTAATGGAAACCAAAATAGTTTTTTCCTCTTAAATGGAAAAGGCATGCATCCTTTACTGTCCACAGTGTAACTTATGACAAAACTATAATAATTTATGAATTATGAAGGGCTCAGGAGGGAGGGGGGGAGGGAAGGGGAAAATGAGCAAATGATATTGAGGGCTAAAGTAGAGGGCAAATGTTTTGAGATTGATGAGGGCAACAGGTATACATATGTGCTTGACTCAATGGATGTATGTATGGACTGTGATAAGAGTTGTACGAGCCCTCAATAAAACAATTAAAAATAATAATAATGAGGGCAACAAATGTACAAATGTGCTTTATACAATTGATGTATGTATGGATTGTGATGAGTTGTATGAGCCCCCAATAAAATGACTTTAAAAAAAAAAGCATAATAAACGTACTGTCAGTTCCTGGAGAACAACAACAACAACAACAACAAAAAAGGCTCACCGTGAGTCAGAACGGACTCGATGACAAAGAATTTGGGTTTGAATTTTCTGCTCCACCCTTCCAAATGTGGTTTCAAATACCCCTTCAATTGGAGAGGAGATGCAGCCTTAAATGTACCTCACTTCCTATGAGGTTGGCAAATGCGTTGAAATTCTGATTCTTTGAAACCTCACTGTTTCATAACAGGAGGACACTCAAGAGTAGCTGGTCTGACATATTACCAGAACAGAATCTAATTCAGAGGTGTTGCTGTTATTTTTTCCCTTTTTCCAATTATAGAAACTTACAGAAAAGGAGGACTATAACTTCCCCCTCGTGTATTATCAATTACATTGTATTTTTATCTCTATCATTCCTTTCTAATAAAAGTAAAAGAAAAACAACCCTGAAATCTTAAGAAAACTAAAATAGGTAAAATTTGATCAGTATGTTACCTGATATGTGAATAAATGATAAGAACTACATGGTTGTATTACCTGATTTTGTGTGGTCATGTGCTTCAAAAGTGCGAACGAGGTCAGTTTTCCGTGCTATCATTCTCTCTTTTAACATCCTGATGGCACTACCTTCGATAGTATTCACCCTACATCAAGAAAATAACTATTAGGTGAAGGTTACATAATTCATCCTGTTCTGCTGCATTTTAATGGGCTATGTTACCACTTACCAATTTCTACTTTAAATAAATTGCTTAAATTCACACATAACATGTACTGGATGGTGAATCTATGTACATTTAAATATATGTGTGTATTTTGCAAAATTTAAAAAGGATTACCAGTGGGGTTTTATTTTGCATTTCAAAGATGTTCATGAACAATTGATTTTTCAGAATATTCAAGATAACTGAAAATAGAGGAAAATAAAGAGGGGCTTGCTATACAGATACTCAAATTTGTTATACAGTTTAATGAAAAGAGTGTGTATTGACACAAAAGAAGACATTCACATAAGCAGAACATAATATAAATGCCATAAATATTGATGGCTACATATGGCAATGATATATATAATTATATAACATATATATATAATAAAGCATTACAATTCAGTAGAAATAGTGGTAGCAACAATATTCCATCAAACAGTTGTAAAATATATATCCTTAAGCATACAATTGTTGATTATATTCTTCTTATAACTATATATATAAGATTTGTAGTGATAGCTCCTCTTTCATTCTTGCTTTTAGTAATTTCAATCTTCTTTCTTCTTTTCTTGGTCAGCCAAAAAGACATTAAGCAAAAGCTGATAAAATAGATAGCCAAGATGAAAGGGACAAATTGCTAGAAAGATGCAAACTACTGAAACTGATTCAAGAAGAAATAGAAAATCTAAATAGGCTCATAGCAACTAAAACAATTAGATAAATAGAAGGAGGATAAAGAATATGTGGCTAATTGCCTCCATAAACAAGTGCCTCCTTGGCCATGAGACCAGAAAAACTGGATGTAGTGCTTGGCTACCATTCAAAGATTCCATAGAAGAATCCTGATCAAAAGGGGGAATATATAGATTTTCAAATTCTCATAGACTCCAAATATTCTGTAGCTTACAGCCAGATATCGGGCATCCATGTAGAATAAAACTATAACCTCTTGTCTTGAGATAATCCTTAAACCAAAGCCATACCCTGCAGGCTTCTTAAATAAAAGTTTAGCTTAACGAATGAAAAATGTTTCTTGAGCATTATGCTCTTTTAAGAATTATCTACATGGGATTGAACTGACAACAGCAATGAAAACGATAAGATAGGGACCTTAGGTGGTAGTGAATTTATGTTAATGGAGGTAAGTGACATGGAAGGTGAGAATGTTCACACAACTTGAAGATTGTAACCAAAGTCACAAAAAGGTACATGTAAAAACTTTTGAATAAGTGTATGTTTTGCTGTGTATATTTCTCAACAAAAAACAAAATAAATACAATTATATATGTACATACATAGAACATATATCCAAGGTTCATAGAAAATGGGTATTGGTCTATGTACATATATGTTAATACATTAAGGTAGTAGTGGACTTTGGGCCTCTATTCAAGTTTTCTTTCAACACAAGAACACTTTGTTCTAATAATCTGGCACTGTGTGATACTCACCTTCCCTACATGATGGCTGAATATAAAATGGGTGCATAAGCAAATGTGGTGAAGAAAATGGATGGTACCTGGCTATTAAAAGATATACCATCTGGGGTCTTAACGGCTTGAAGTCAGACAAGTGGTCATCTAGCAGGGGAACAGCTAAGCCCACATGGAAGAAACAGCCCAGCCTGTGTGATCACAAGGTATTGATGAGAACAGGTATCAGAAATTCAAACAATCATATTGTTATAAAGGAGAGGGGTCAGAGTGGAGACCCAAAGCCCATCTGTTGATAATTGGACATTCTCTCACAGAGGGGCTACATGCAAGGAATGATATATCCAGGATGCAGTATAGCACTGATGAAACACACAATATTCCTCTAGTTCTCTAATACTTCCTCCCCTCACTATTATGGCCTCAGTTCTACATTAAAAGTTCTGCTAGACCAGTGTTTGTACATTAGGACAGATAAGAGCTTCCGATACATGGAATGCAGGATAGATAAACACCTCCAGAAATAGTAATGGGAGTAATGATTCCATGAGGTTACTGGAAGGGAGGAGGGGAAAAGGGGGAAGGGGGAACTGATAGTACTGATGGCTGTATAATCCCCAGCAAGGGGGATGAATAACAGAATTGAAGGTGAAGGAATACATTGGATGGTGGTGTAAGATATGTAATATGTAATATAATATATTAAGAGTTCAGGAGGGCGGTAGGGTGGGGGGAGGGACAGAATAAAGAGGAGCTGATATCAAAGGACTCAAGAAGAACGATAATGTTTTGGAAATGATGGCTGCATCTGTATAAGTTCACCTGATATAATTGATTTATGGATTGTTATAATATCTGTAAGAGACCCCAATAAAATTATATATATATATATAATTGAATCTTTCCATGAACCTTTTGAAGCCCCCTTGAGTGTATACGTGTGTGTATAGAATAAGTAATCAAAAACCTTCCCAAAAAGAAAAGTTAAGGCCCAAATGGCTTCACTGGTGAATTCAACAAAACGTTTAAGGAAGAATTAATACCAATGCTTCCAAAACTCTTCCCAAAATAAAAGAGGTGGGGATGCTGCCTACCTGATTCTATGAAGCTGATATATTGCCCTGATAATCAAAGACATTACAAGAAAACTACAGAGCAGTATCTCCTGTACACACACACACACACATACACACACCATATATACTAGAGTATAAGTCGACCCGAATATCAGCCGAGGCACCTATTTTTACCACAAAAACTGCATTAAAAATGTGCTGAAAAACTCAGTTTATACTCAAGTATATACGGTACATGCAATAATTCTTTAAAATGCTAGTATTTTTGCATCCAGTTGCATAAAACATCCAGCAACACAAAAAAAATGATTATGTAACATAGTGAAATTACTAGAAAAAGACACAAAACCACATGATCATCTTAATAAATGCAAGGCGGGGGGAGAGGGAGAACTTGACAAAATCCAACACCTTTTCTTGATTAAAAAACACATCACACTAGTAATAGAAGGGAACTTTCTAAATCTGTGAGTATGACCTAATGGGAAATAGGGCCTTCAAAATGCTATTAGCTAGGTTAGCATGAGATCACACTAAAGTAAGGTGGGTTCTAATACTATATGACTGGCATTCATATAAAAAGAGAAGATGCCCAGAGACAGAAATGGAGGGAAAAAACACCATGTGAAACTGCAGCTGCAAGTCAAGGAACTCTTGGAGATTTCAGAAGTTGGTGACAGGTATAGATCCGATTTCTCTTCAAAGTATCACAAGGAATTATTATGGCCAACACTTTGATCTCAGAGCCCCAGGTCCCAGAGCTATATACATGACATACTACATTTACATTCTTATGAGCCATCCTTTTGTGTGCCCCCCCTGCCACCCCCAAAAACTAAGACCAAGTTGGGTGCTGGGGATTAGGGTGCTACTATGACAAACACTTGAACATGTAGAATTGGCTCTGGAATTGGGTAATGTGTAAATGCTGGAAGAGTTTTGGGTTAAATCTAGAGTGCATTCTGACCCATCCAAGGGGAGGGTATTGTTTATATCTCCACAGGGAAATAGGGACCAGATTTCAACCCAGTGCTCCAAGATGTGAATGCAACATGCTAGCATGGAGTAGGAACCAGTGGAGAGGTAGGTGTGAGGGGCCGGCCCCAATCCCAACTACATGGACACCTGATCTTCTCCCCAGAAGAATTTATTTCAGAGGACAGCACTGAATCTGCAGCTCCAGGAGAGGGACATGTCTGATCAGCGTACACGGGAACAAATGAAGGGGGAGGAGGAGAGAGTGGAGCACATCTTGGTTTATCAAGCCTTGAGGACAATATTCCTGCTCATAGCAGCCAATCCACAGAGAAGACCACATGGCCAGCCCCACTATGAGACACGAAATCCTGCACTGACCCATAGCACTACAGGGGACAACACTGGAGACAGAGTGTGGGAATTCCACCAGATATGATCCCACCACACCGAGGCAAAACACTAAGGGCATGGAACAGAACAGCTAGGGGAACAGAGCAACGCAGTCCCCAGGGAATACCAAAAATAGACTTTGGAACCAGGGCTTGGTGCCCAAACAGACTTGACTGGAAACACTCCTAAAGGCCAAAAAATAGTCCTTGAACTAACTACAAGCTTTTCTTTCTTGTTGTTGTGTTGTATTTTGGTTTTTTGTCATTGGCTTTCTGTTGTTTTGTTTTGTTTTATTTTGTTGCTTGGTTTTGCTTTGTCTTATTTTTGTGCATGTTATTATCTCCACAGTCTGCTTAAATAAAACTGGCTGGATGAACAATCTGGAGGAGAAAACAACGGGACTGACAGTTCCGGGGGGACATGGGAGAGGGGGAGGTGAAAGTAAAATAGTGGTGGTAACAAACCCAGGGACAAAGGAACAACAAGTGATCCAAATCGGTGGTGAGGAGGATGTAGGAGGCCTGGTAGGGCGTGACCAAGGGTAATGTAACTGAGATGAATTACTGTAACCTAAAGGAAGGCTGTGCATGATAGTTTGGACAAGAGGAAAGTAAAAGAAAATAGAGGAAAGAGCTAGGAAGTAAAGGGCATTTATAGAAATCTAAATACAGGCATGTACATAGGTAAATATATTTTATGAGGATGTGGAAATAGATCCATGTACATATATGTATAGATTTAATATTAAGGTAGCAGAAGGACATTGGGTCTCCACTCAAGTACTCCCTCAATGCAAGAATACTTTGTTCTATTAAACTGGCATTCCATGATGCTCACCTTTCCAACACAATCGCTGAAGACAAAGCGGGTGCATAAGCAAATGTGGCGAAGAAAGCTGATGGTGCCCAGCTATCAAAAGATATAGCGTCTGGGATGTTAAAGGCTTGAAGGTAAACATGCAGCCATCTAGCTCAGGAGCAACAATGTCCACATGGAAGAAGCATACCAGCCTGCATGCTCATGAGGTGCCAAAGGGATCAGGTATCAGGCATCAAAGAACAAAATATCATATCATTGTATGCTCACCTCCCTGATACGATCCCTGAAGACAGATGGGTGCATAAGCAAATGTGGCAAAGAAAGCTGATGGTGCCCGGCTCTCAAGAGACATAGCATCTGAGGTCTTAAAGGCTTGAAGATAAACAAAATGGCCATCTAGCTCAAAAGCAACAAAGCCCACATGGAAGAAGCACACCAGCCTGTGCGATCACGAGGTGTTGAAGGGATCAGGTATCAGGGATCATCAGAACAAAATTCTTATCATAGTGAATGGGTGGGGCGGGGAGTGCGGAGTGGAGACCCAAAGCCAGTCAGGGTGCAGTGTAGCAATGATGAAACATACAACTTTCCTCTAGTTCCTAAATCCCCCCTCCCCTACCATCATGATC